CACTCTTTCAGTAAAGAAATTTTTCCTAATGTCCAGTCTAAACCTCCCTTGGCGCAACTTGAGGCCATTTCCTCTCGTCCTATCGCTTGTTACTTGGGAGAAGAGACCAACCCCCACCTCGCTACAACCTCCTTTCAGGTAGTTGTAGAGTGCGATGAGGTCTCCCCTCAGCCTTCTCTTCTCCAGGCTAAACAGCCCCAGTTCCCTCAGCCGCTCCTCAAGACTTGTGCTCCAAACATCTCTCAGGATGGAGGAAAAAGGATCACTTCACAATTTCATAAGAAATCAAGTAATGCTTATTAAAAGTTTTGGAAAAATTACAGAGCCAATTATAATCATCCTTCAAGGACATGCTAAATGAGATGCACAAGATCACTCAAAAATTAATCTGCCTATCATTGTGTGAGTAATACTTTATTCTGCCTTGAATTCAAATAGCAATCTGGAGCTGACAACAACTATTGTATTAACACCTAAGGCAATGTAAAACCATTTCAATGCAAAACACATTAATGAAAGAATAGATGCAAACTACATCATCTGTGAAACTGTTTCAAACAAAGCACTGCAGCCCTAATTTATCATTTTCTTGTTATATTCCACATTTATAGACATGGAAAGCTGTCAGTATATATCATCGAGGTCATGGATTTGCAGAGCCCCCCTGAGGATCACTTGTTCACACTTCTTACAAAACAATTTTAAATATCAAGTGCTGTACTTCAGTATTACACATTACATAGCACCAAAAAAAGTAGACTTCGTGTTATGAAAGCTTTAAAACAGAAAAGCAACTACCAATTCAAGATTATGTTGAAAATTGAGCCATACCAAGAAATAAGTTTAAACAATGTTACTCATTTAAACATTGCATGTACTTGACAAAAACAACATCTAAGTTTATGCTCTTGTCAGTAATATTAATGTATTTATTGTGGACTTTTGTAGACTTCATCTACACTTTTGATAAAACCACTATTATATTATTTCCCCTTAAAAAGTTAAAAATTTAGAATACACATCTTCCCTAGTTGCATCTTTCTGCCCCTTCCCAGTCTTCCAAAGTGTCAATTAATGTCAAGAAAAGACTATTCTTCAGTGTATTCAGCAAGGAAATGCAACATGAAGTGTGAGTTTTAGCATTATATTCTAGACAACCATGCTAATAAGAACCAGTTCAAAGTTAGTCACAAGAATCAAAACTGCAGCTTCCACGGCTAAAAAATACTTTTATATTTTTACATCCATTTGCAGAAGCATGCAAGTTTGCTTCTTGCACAACCAAGTTTTTAAAGTTATAAAATGATGGAAAAATTAATTTGTATTGCTTAGATTAAGACTAAGTATTAAATGTTTGGGGTTTTTTCCCCCCCCCAGAACAGGCATATTCTCCCCTCCACTTACACAAGGAGCTTCTGAAAATTGCCACCTCTCAAACTATTATTACTCAAACAGTTATTACTATCCTCTGACATAGAAGTCTTACAAAAGTTAGTAGTTACTAAACCATAGAACTATGTACTTTTCTGAAGATATTGCATACTGTTTTTCAACAAAGAGATCACTGCATTTTTTTGAACATTAGTTGTACTGAGGTGAATAAATAATAGTAAGAATCTCTAATATATCATTTTCTCACAAAATAACAGCTGTGATGGAACAAAAAGTTGTCCAACATTTAAAAAAGTTAAATGAGGTTATAACAGTAAAACCAGTATTGTGGAATTAAATTAATCCAATAAAGAACCAATCTTATTGTCAATCACTGTTCCCTCAAGCTTTTAATAGGCTAGAGCCAAGCTGAAACAGAGAGGACATCTCACACCATGAGGTACAACACAGTAAGTGCCACCCAGCAGTACCACTGCTAAATCCTGCAGGTCCACATAGCAGACAGATTGCAGAATCCCTGAGGTTGGAAGAGACCTCTGGAGGTCATCTGGTCCAACACTTCTGCTCAAGCAAGGTCACCTAGAGCTGCTTGCCCAGAACCATGTCCATATGAAGATACTTCATAGCAAGCGTAAAACTTGAATTCAATTTTCATTCTTACAATAACTCTTGCTTTTAACCAAGAGCATCTGCAAAAACATACACCATCTTCTGTATTAAGTCATCACTGAAAGTAGTTTTGAGGAAGCCTTGATCTTCCCTGGGAGAAGCAACTTTTACATTAACTCCTTAAGCTGGCAATTTCTGTGTTAGTACCCTCCCAGTGATTTACCTTCAGGGATGAGATGCTTTCAGGTTGAATATGTATTACTAATCCCTCCCCAAATTCATAACTAGTATTTCACAGAAATTGGGGAACTCGGGAATTTTTCATACCAAATAAGTTTTATTTCTTTAGCATCTTTGGCTTTAACAGGGTATTTCATGCTACCCCATTCAGAAGCTGGGGAGAAGCCCACAATTCAACAGCAAAATTCTGCATTTTTCCTCAAACTATGAGAATGTATGTATTACTAGGTCAAATTTAGTGAACTGATTGTGATGTTCAAAGCCATAGAAAATGAAAACCAGCAAGCTAATATAATGACAACCATATCAAACAGTAGTGTTATCTACCTCTCTATCATATGCAGTAACACAAGTCCTCAGTTGTCAGCAACTCTGGTGCAGCACAATGCTTCAATTTCTGTTGTTCCCCATCCACGCTCTCCCCTCCAACAAAAACCCACACCAAATGTTACAATATTGTGCACTCTGATAAGAAGTCTGCTGCTTGTTGCATGAGTAGCTCACCATGTACATCAGAGTAATACATCAAATCAACCTGGGCCTTAAGAGAGGCCCAGAACACTGGCTCAATGCTGGTGGTACTCCTTAAAAAATAGATTTTAGCTAGATTAGTCATTGGAGTAAATTTGTTAGTTCTATAATTCAAACTGTAGCCATTTACAATCTAAAGAACACCACCCCCCTGCATCCCTCCTTCTGTGGAAGCAGGAGAATATGCTTTCATAAAGAAAGCCTAGGAGCATGCACAAACAGAAGTGAGCTTTTGCTCTCAGTATCTATTCAAATTCAAGGCTGCCTGCTGCCAGTGCCAAAGCCTCTTTTCCCCAACTTCTCACAGTATTGTATATTACCACAATGCAGAAGTGCAATTTTAGAACAGCCATAATCTACCTCTTCACACTGAAGGCCACACAACGCAGTACTGTTAACATATGTTTGACTAATTATAGAATAGATAAGTTGTACTCCAAGTGACTTAAATAGAATCACTTCATTCATCTGTTTCACGGTACTCTTCCACAAATAACATTTTAAGATGAAATCAGTCATCTGCAGTCAGTGCAAGCACAGCATTCCTATTTACTTTTAATATTTTGTATTAAAGTAGTAGGCATTCAATGTAAAACAATTCTTAATTAGGCATGAAAGTATTTGCTAACATATCACTTACTACAATACAACCTTCATTAGATGTTCATTTAGAATAGATTTTTTTCTTTAGAGTAAAAAGGTGAATATGAGTATATAGAAGCCCAGATACACCTGTTCTTAGCTTCCCTTTAACAATACAATTGCAACACTGGCAATGGAACAGACTAAAGGCATTCAGAAGTCTGGGGAACAACAAAAAAATTCAGTTATGTCTGTACTACAAATCCTCAACTCTTAACTAATATAAACCAAAGATGCAAGATCACCTCTGTTCAGAGGCAAGGGAACTCAGATACCACACATTGTGTCCCCATCTATTCTCTACCCTTTTTCCATCATCTGCTAAGCATTTGTGGAAAATATTGAAGTAGGTCTTTGTTCTTGCTGTTTGAAAAAAAACACTGAGGATTATTCTCCCAGCTAATGAGTTTATTCTTAATGTTAGCCTCACAGAAGTTAAAAAACACTATACGCGCTCTGCAGTAATGTAATTGAACAAGAGATTAATCTTTCCTTCCATAATTTACCCTTAAGGGAAACAAATTTAAAAGCTGACATGTTATTACAGGCTAAGAGAAGGTCTGGATCTTTTTTGACCAGCACATGACCTAGATGTCAGCAATATAGCCTGAATGATTTAGTGACCCATGTCAGTCAGAAAAGGCTTAAAGTAATAAAATTTATGATTTGGGTCAAGTTAAGGCACTTAGTCAATGGGGCTGAGAGCAATTCAGGTCACCTGAGATACCTACTAGCTGATCCGCCAAATTGCTCTCCTACCTGCTGCACAGAGCTTGATGACCACCGAGTTGTCAGTGTTCTGACACATCTAAGAACCTGTACTGAATTGCCTCCCATAATCTTGCTGTAACTTAGACCAGCTGAAATCACTGGTATAAAGACAGAAAATCATTAGCTATGCTTGTTACTCAATTTAGGTTTGTTTAAGAGTCTAAAGGTAGTATTTAGCAGTTACTTCTCCCCCTTACCCAGTTATGACCAAAACACTCTTCCCTCTTTCTTATATCCTTGTTCTACGAGAATTTTATCCATCTATCCTTTGCCTGACAACAAGCTACCACAAAACATCTCCTTGGCTAGCAATGCTTCAAAATATATTATTGCATGAGCTACTGTTATGGAGCCACTTAGAATTCACTAGCAAAGCTATGTGGGAACAACTTTACGATGTTAGAGCCAGGCTGCAATGGAAAAGAAAGCTATTTTAGCAAGGACATGAACTTAAAGATTAAAACCTATGAAGGAAACACTGACTTCTGAGAAGTTTTAAAAGCTTTGTCTGCAGTTATCTTAAGCTTTAAAGCTTCATCTTTGTTGCAAAATTTTACCTTGGTAAGAAGTTCATACATGTAGCATTACAAACAGGCTGATTATTCAGTGACTGAAGAAATACAACAGTGGTTCTTAAACTTGCAGTAAAAAAGCTATGCCTCTCATTCCAAGAACTTAGAAGTAGTGTTTCAAACCATGAAAACCCAGAGCTAGAAGACACTGTTGAAGCTATTTAATATGATGACAGTTTTCTGTACAGGTATAGCCCGTGATAACTGCAAGCAGAGAGCTGAAGCATTTGCATAACAACTTACTGTGTAAGTGATAGCTGCCAACATTCCAATCACAGTCAAGGAACTAATGGAAAATGAAAGAGCAGTCAAGCCATCTGCAAAAAAAAAAAAAAAAAGCCTGTTGAAAATTCCTAGAGTGGAGGTGTTAAGACCATTTCTTCCTAAATTGGTTTCCTGAAGATATTTAAGTTCATTAGACTAAAGAAAACGAAAAAATTGAGACATAGTTACCAGCCATAACAACTCAGATGAAAAATTCACCTAGCACAGCTTTTTGTCAGTAGTAGATCCTCTTCCAATCCTGCAAGAAGCATCTTGCCTTTGCTACAAGTTCACAGATGTTGCATTCAGTCAAATGGTTGAATAGCCACTAATGAACTTGCTCCAATAGCTGTCTAATGCCTCTTCAAGACTTATTTCTGGCATCCACAGGGTGCTGTGGTAATTTTCACAATTTACAAATGTATTCTGGATGGTTCATCTTTGTTTTGTTTGTTATCACCTGATTTCTCATAATAAAGCACTACCCAGAGAATCAGGCAAGCATGGATCCTTCAAACAACCAAACGAGCCAGACTGCACGCCTCAGCTTCACTCAGACCATATACATCTTGACGTACAAACTGGAAAAAGGTCAGGGGATTAACAAGTTACTGTAGCCTTACTATCACTCTAGAAATGAAAAGGGGTAGTAGAAGAAAGACAGTACCAAACTCATCCCCAAAGGCATCAAACTCCCTGAATCCTCCTGCATAATTTTTCACAACAGCCCTGTCCCTAACCTCACTGTACAGGACACAACATGCCAAGCTTTTTTGGTTAAATAGTAACATGGAAATTTATAGTAGCTATTATAGAAGTTAACTTTAAGCAATCAGTTTCATGTTTGCACCCAGCCATAAAAATCGAGCTACCATTTAGTGTTCTCCCCTCCCCTCTAGTTAATTCAAGAATTTAGAGCACAATAACTTTTATTCCTACTCACACAGAATTATTTGCCAGTTTCCATTCATTAGCTGGTTTCCATTCCTTTTTCCTGAATGTAGTGTCAAGCATTCACAAACTGAGAAATCCTGTTACAGTTATCCTTCATGAGAAGCTGCATCTTTCTTCTTACCAACCTTACAGGCCTCCTTCCAGAAATGCCAAAACTAATAGAATAGCACAACCAAATCCAACTTCACCGCTCAAATCTTTCCTTTGCTATTTTTGCTAAAATAATACCAAACATTCCCAAAGCTAACAGCAATATGTTCATAAGTTTCAAACACTACAGCTATGTTTAAAACTGAAAAAAAAAACAAACAAAAAAACCCAGCACTATTCCCCCTTTAGTACTTGTGAAAATTTTACCTGTGTTCTGAAGTTTAGGGGAAAAGTCCCCACACATAAGTGACCCTTATTTCTAAAGTATCACACAATGTACTTAAATACCATATTTGATGATGCTCCTGTACATGTATTTAAAAACAACATTTAATATCCATTTGAAAAGTTTGAACTATGTTCAATGGAACACTAAGAAATTAACTGGCTGAAAAATTGATAATTGTATACCAGAAGTATATTATCAGGCTCTGCCTCAGTGAATGAGTTTGCATTGCTTTTATAATCCCAACACAAACTGAATGCACATAGAACAAACATCCAAAATTAAGATCTTTATATTTCTTGGATTAACTGCAGAAAAACAAAGGAAAAGGATAAGTTAATATAAAAACAGGACAACGGTACAAGTAATGACAACAGGCAAGAATTTTGTCCTCATTCTCCAGCATCTGGAACACGAAAGAACCTTTTGCAACAATACTGACCAGGGACTTGCTGGCTGTGGAGTAGCTCTACAAAAACCTTGGGGGCGGGTCTTGGCAGACAGCAAACTGAAGATAAGCCAGCAGCGTGCCCTGGCAGCACGGAAGTCCAACAGCATCTTGGGCTGTATCAACAGGAGCATGCCCATCTATTTAGGGAAGGGACCATATAGGGAATACCGCAACAAGTTTTGAGGCCTCCACTACAGGCAAGATTGATCAATCCGAACAAGTTAAAGGGAGAGCTAAGTGGGTCAGAGGGTGGAGCACATGCCATGCAGAGAAGTTGAGGGAGCCAGGCTTGTTCAGCCTGGAACAGAGACGGCTTTGGAGAGACCTAATATAGCCTTCCTGCTTATCAAAGAGGTGGAGCCCAGGCTCTTCAGTGCTGCATAGTAGTTGAGTGTGAGATAATGGGTGACAGTGTCTATACCCACACTGGATAAGAGGAGACTTTTTTTCCCCACCATGAAATGAAAGAGTCCCCATCCTTAGGGGTTTTTCAAGAACTAGCTGATGAAGCCTTGAGCAACCTAGTCTGACCTTATAGCTTCCTTCTTTGTGCAGGAGATTGGACTAGATGACCTGAGGTCTCTTCAATCTGGACTACCCTATGAAATTAAAAGTCACAAGAGAATGCTGGTAGAGTCAGAAATCAAAACCAGACTTCCACATCCCAATCCAGCATCTTAATGATTAAACCTTCCTAGAAATAAACATTAGCTATACTATACTTTCATAGCAAGGACGTGTCCAGAGCTGGATAATTAATTGACAGCCATATCAAGGTAGCCTAGAAAAATTAGTTTACAACTCAGCTCAACCACTGTCACTACCTCTATAAACAGTTTAAGAAGCATTTTATTCCATGCTGTCAGTTAGAATCTTTGTGAAGCAAGCAAAATAAACAAGCAGACAGCCAAAATTATGAAAAAGCTATAGACTTGTCCTCCCTATCTACTATGCTTGCAAGCACAGCTTACAGCACAGCACGTATTATGATGAAAGATTCTGCAAGGATGTCAAAGGCAACAAGAAGGGCTTCTTCAAGCACGTAAGTGGCAAGAGGAAGACGAGGCAAAACGTGAGCGTGCTGCTGAGTGGGGCAAGGGCCCTGGTGACACAGGACATGGAACAGTCTGAGGTAGTGAATGCCTTCTTTGCCTTAGTCTTTACGAGCAAGACCAGACTTCAGGAAACCCAGGCCCAAGAGACCAGGGGGAAAGGCTGGAAGGAAGATGTACCCTTGATGGAAGAGGATCAGGTTAGAGAATACTTAAGCAAACTGGACATACAAAGTCAATCGGCCCTGAAGGGATAAATCAAGTGCTGACAAAGCTGGCAAATGTAATTGCAGGGACCTTTTAGTCAGTACAAAATTCCTAGAATAATGCACAATACAACTTGACCAAGGCTCATAGCATTATCAGACAGAAGCCAATACTCTGATGCACAGCAAGAATGAGGTACAAATATTAGAGTACTTACGCATTTTGATTAATGTTTGTTAGATAACTTTTAGTTACCATTTTTCTGGATACATTTGGAAAGTGACATCAAGTCTGTCTTAGCTCACCTATAAAATACTTTCTTCACACCTTTGCTCTGAAAACACACCCTGGCTAAACACATGAACTGCATAAGCTAAAGGTTAAATACAACTTCATGGAGTTTGGCCTTCACTATAGTTCCTTATAGCCCTAGCATAAACAAGTATAAGAAATGCAAACAAAACAATTTTAGAAAAGGTCAATAGTAGGAGAACAAAGGGAAAAAGATCATAACATCCATACAATTTTCCTGTCTGAATAGACAAAGACACTTATGAAGTAATCTCATTGTTACAGTGAACAGCAGTATCACATTTAATTAGGTAAGCACTCGAAAACTGTCATACGACAAGAGACACACTCACCATACTGAAGTTCACTGATTTTAGGTATCCATGTAACATTTAAAAGCTGCGTTAAGTGAAGACTCCATGGAAGAAAGTACCTTCTGCTCCCCACCATTAATATCACAGCACACAACATTGGAATCCTTGCTGTCAAATGGGGACTGTACTGAAAGCAGACACTGCCAGTGTCTCCTCTCTGTAGTTTAAACATGGTTCTGACTTTCTTTTGTCTGAACATAAAGAGAACAATCTTATTGCAAAGATTTAGTGTAGCTGAGCAGTTAGAGTCAAGTTAGACTGTCACCGAGAAAGTTAGTTTTCTTGTTCAATGATGAGTATGCCAAAATAAGTTAGTAGCAAGTTGTACAAAGCTCAGAACAAATCTCAAACTTACGACTACTTCCAAGTTCTTCAAACAGGAGCTTCACTTTCTCCCACTCTGTGGAATTCTTCTTGTTGGGAATATCCAAAGGAACAAAAGCACTGTAGCAAAGCAAAAAAGTCATCTCACTTACCCTAATTAGTCAAATATCAACGAATTCTACTTCCAAGTTAAGGAAACAGAAATCCATTTATTCCTGAAGAAAAATTGTATGACATTAGGTTTAAAAAATTCTGAAGGCAATGTTTCATTTTATTCACATTCCCCTCAAATGCTGTATTTAGATCAGCAGAGTACATGTCCAAGTGTGTGCAGAGTCAGGCCTGAGGTCAATGAACAAGTGATTTTCTATTTACCAGTCCTAACAGAGGTAAGGACCCTACGCTCAAGATGTATTAATCCGATTTGCTATGCTGGTTTGACTCATGTGCAGAGGAGCAAAAAGACTTTAAGCATCAATTGAGACAAATTCTCTTAAAAATCCACGCTTCTGGAAGCTAGAATAAAACAATTAATGATTCCCACACCAAGCATTCATTAAAGTTTAAAGGGACATGTTTATCTCCCATTATTACAACTAAAATAACACATTTGCTGCATTCCATTCCTTGTTCTGTAGTTGGCCCACAGAACTGAACTGCAGAGAAGTTCATGAAATATTTTTGACCTCCCAATAAGCAAAGACTAGCAAAGAGCTCAGAAGAATGTCAGATAGAACAGTCCCATAGCTGAAAGCTTTCTTCTGTCAGTCTCCCCATCTAAAATCCAATAATAAGAGTAACTCTTCAGCACCTCCATAGACAAAACAGCTATTTTTGTAACAGCTGAAAAAGCAGTACCTCCATACCAATCTGAAACCATAGCTTCCAGACATAAAACAGAATGTCTACAAGTCACAAGAAAGTCAGTTTTGGAAGGAAACTTTTTAGGTAAAGAATGTGAGAACCCAAACCAAAGTCCATAAAGAACGCTCACAAGTGTCTTTTGGACTTTTGAAAGAAAGAGTACATAATTAGATCCCTGCTTGAAGTCCCAATAAACAAATGAATAACAAATATGCATCTTCCAGGAGTGTGCCTCAAGCTTCTCAAACATAAGCGTATGTTTCAAAGGCTAGTGCTAAGCTAAGTGTGTGCACTTCTAATCATCACATCAAAACCAAAAATAAACTGGTACTCTGCAAACAAAGTTAAAATTTTAAAAACTAAAATCTTAACTTCTAAAATATGTTTAATTGACAAGTGTTTGTCAGCTTCTTGACTGTGCAAGAGGTAGATTAAGGCTAGCATTTACTTAAGTTGATGCATGCTTGCTGACTTAAGATTTTTATTCTTGTATCTGCCTCTAGTAGTAATTCTTTCTGTAAAATAGCATCCAGGTAAAATCAAGACACAGGTATTAAAACAAAGTTAAGCAAAATTTTTACTTACAAGAGATAGCAGCACAAATAACTGCAGGTTTATTTGCTAAAAAGGGTTAAAATAGGGGACTGGGAAACTAAGTGAGCTCAAGTCCTTTTATTTTAGCATCAGTATGAATTTGCTATCTGTGGACCACAGGCCAAGGAACAAACGACATGAAAGAACATCTTAGGATATTTATAATTTGCTTGCCTTTCCACTCTCCCCCGCTCCAAGAGCAATAGGGTTAATTTTTTTTTTTTTCCCCTGAGACTACCTACAACCAGCATGTCAAAGGACACTAATCAGAGCAGAAGCCACAGTACTCGTTATACACATACTCTTCAATTAGTACTCAGCTAAATCTTGACTGAAGGAGATAGACATCCGATTCTGCTCCTGCTCAAGGTCCATGCACCAAGGGCCTCAGAAAGGAATGCAGGACCTATAAATTCACACACTTTAGTCCCAAGCAAGCAGGAATCTTACTTCCCCTCCTGAACAGGGTTCTTGAGCTAGTAGCAAACTAGCCAGAAGGCTAACTAGCCCACTTGAACAGACTTTTGGCCTCTAGCTTAACAGGCCACAAGAACAAGAAGACAGCGTTAGCATGCCTAGCCTTTTACAGACCTGCATCCAGTCCACACTCCCAAAGGATCTCTAAAACACAGCCCATCCATTGCGCCAGCACAGCACACAGCAGTTTAGGCCTATTCTTCATGCACACTAAGCAAGAAGAAATTTGACAAGAGTCTTGGCTATTTTGCTATGTTGACTAAATGGTCAATGCAGCCTGAGGGCCATAGTAGCCATCAACAGAATGAGAAGTTTCCATGTTAAATAACTTCATTCACCTGTCATCACTGTGATGCAATACAAGTCAGTCCATTGACAGTGAGTGAACAGAGTACAAGTGCCAGTGCAGGGTTTTACAAGTGTAGCTGAGAATTCAGTTAATGCAAGCCAACAGAGCAGCTCAGCTGTGATGTGATGTCTTACACTCAGAGTTCTGGACACAAATTAAATTATTAACTGCAGTAATTTTAAGAATAGAAGCAAACTGCTATGCTGTTTAAAACACATCCTGGGAATACTATGATTAAGATCTAGATCAATATCTAGGCTGCAGAACAAGGAAAGTAAATGCAAGACAAGCAGTTTAAAACTATTAACTTTTGGCAGGGCTAATAACACACAGGTGTAGATGGGTCAAGTTTGATCCTTAAATCAAAGAATGCCATTAACTGTCATCCTTAGGAAAATAATTTCCAATACTAGATTTAAACTAATTTCCTTTAAAGTGCGTTCTGCTATAATATAATTTGCATAATTATTTATAGGCTAATTAGACATCTATTCACAGCTTTTTAAAAGCTAATGGTTCTAGAAAATTTAAGGTAACCAGTTTAATTCTGAAAACTGACAGTCAGGGAAACATTCCTTTCAGAACCAAACATTCGTTAGCCTCAAAAGCAAATACTTTAGTTCAAACCAGACTGCTGTATAAGGGTGCCTTAATGTAGATTGTAGTATCTCAAGTCCCTCAGCTCTAGCACATGACATTTTGAGTAAATAAACTATTTTCAAGGAAAGTAGATAATTTCTAAGAAGGGAAAGCCATTACAAGTAAATAGTAGTTCCAAGTATCCCAGTATAAATTTGTCCTATACTTTGCTTTTAATGATACTATGCATCAAGTTATTTATGTGCAGAGCATTTAAGTGCTATTACAGACATGCACATTTTTGCCACAGCAAGAGGCTTTGTAACAGACAACTAGAGTAAGAGGTATAAATACTACTCCTGCTAACAATTTAGACAATGGAATCCTGCTCATTGAGCCATGTTATCAACTTAGAAAAAACCTCCAAGATCATCTGGCACAAAACAGATATGTTTCCTAAAATGGTCACATAGATCTCTAATAGAGCAAGGTAAACATCCAGGTAAGAAAAAGAGATTCTTAAACTTCAAGCTTAATCCAGCTTTTATGGTTGCTTTGAGGACTGCTGACCAGGAAAGAGGTAGGGACTTTTTATGTAGACCTACCTTTAAGGGAACCGAGCTATTTATTGACCTGTTTTAATTATACAGATTACTTGCTAAATCAATCAGAACAGAGGTTGTCTTGATATGAGACACTAGTCATGTAAGCACAAAGAGACAACAGACTATTTGCTAGGCATTTAACAGGAAATATTCCAGCTCCTCTTGCTTTTGTAACCTGTGTGCATGAATATTCCAGTCCATTAAGCCTAGCCTCCTAAAATTAAATCCAGTACATAAAATTCCAGTCTGTTTTAATGCTGGTCTGTTCCTGACCACCAGTGAGAAAAGTCTCCTGCTACTGCCGGGTATAGGCAGTACTGCAAGATTAGTCTTCACTACCACATTCAGTTGAGCCCCTCATGTAGAGGCTTCAGCTCCAACACTTTTATCTCTTCCCTATCACACTGGGACTTCTGAGGCTGCTCTTTGCCCTTGCTGTACAGACAGTTGACTAAGACAGATAACTTCTCCATAACAAGCATGTACATGAACACTGAGACACCCACTATTTTTTATATATATATAAAATTATACTAGAACCAAAGTTCACATTTTTCTTCAGCACAGTTACCTCATTTGCTTCCTAAACTGAGCTGTTCAGCCTTGTAGTTTCCCTTAAAGGGGACAGACAAGTATTATATTCTTCTGCAGCAGTGTCTTAAGTAGCAAAGGTGCTTCTCCATTCTGAGGGCATTAGGATGATGCTAGTATTTAATCATTACCATCTTAAAAGAAAGCAAGCAACCTCATATGTATAATAGCAGAAAAAATGTTCCAGTTAGAATCCAGAAATACTAAAATCCCTATCAGTATCTAAAGGAGTCCTGCCTCCCTGCAGCAGATGCTCCTGCTGTTTAGATCAGTGGGTTTCGAGTCCGTACCTATTGAGAAGCACTGTTCAGTAACTTAGTCCCAGGCCAAGTACTACAGCTGTCTGGTTTGCAAGTCAATCTCACTGTCATATAGTACAGTATCAGAGGGGATCATGGAAGCTGCTGTAATTCACAAGTTGGAAAGACTTTAAAGAAAAAGCCTAAAAGCACAGAGGACAATTAGGAAGTCAAGAACCAAGTTTCATCTTACTGGAAGAGAGGAACAAACAATGCTTACAGCTACTGAGGATTCAGCTGACACCTACTAGAGATACTGCAAAATTTTCTAAACTGGATATATTATACCGTACATATATGTATGCCTATGATGTGAGCCAACAGTCAGAGAAACAGCTTTTGTCAGAAGCTTTAGTAATATTTCTAGACCATGATTAAGGTAACTCAAACTCCTTTAGTCTCTCATAATAGCAAATATGTTACTTTCAATTGAAAGGACAATAGACTTCTTAGAAATGTACCTTAAGTGTTTATCAAAACTAAAACAATATTCCAATAAGGTGGTATACAACTAGAAGCATTAATTTTCCTCTAGTTTCTACTTCACACTCCAGTACTTCGATATGGATCATTTTAGCATGCATTTTGTAAATTTTACCAACTTTATTGCTGCAGTCAAAATGCTAAAAAGCTTATGACACAGCACACATTAGAAACTTTCAATATTGGTGTGCATGTCGTGCTTAATGGCGATCTTAAATTGAATTTGTAATACTGCTTGGAGTTTCAGAATAACAGCACTTGCTGTAAACAAGTTACCCACTTCAGTAATATCTGCCTTTCAAACAAATGCCAGCAAAACCTTTATCATACAAGGCACAACTATGTCAGGTAAAACCCCACACTATACTTATGTCCCTCACAGAACAATTCCATTTAGGAAAGTACAAGCACATAAAACCTACTCATATTCCTAAAAGCTGTTTTGGGATGTCCATGAAAGCATTTGATAGAGGCAGAAAACAGAAAGAGCACAAATATTTTACTCCCTGTTGTACACTGAGATATCAATACAGTTGTAAATGTCATAGCCATCATGTCCTTGATGGACGTTCACACTGCACAAACAGGCAGAACTTGGAAGCACAAGTACCTCCACAATTAAGAAAACTGTTTTAGCTTCCAGTTAAACTCTTACTTTTCAGATACCTAATTCTCAGGATATTTAAGCCCTATTAGAGATAAAGCTAGATATTCATTATACAGATTGAGTGCACCACAATCTACCTTTTTAATCTTGCACAGAACAAAGTTCTGTTTGGGGTTCTATTTAGTTTATCCCCTGTTCAATGTTCAATACAAATACTTACCCAATTAAGAGAAGAACTGCGCAAATTGTGATGAACCCCAGAGTATATTTGAGTGCAGTTTTAACCTGCTGTATATTAAAGAGAAAGTTAATATATTAACAAAAAATAAATCCAAAGGGATTTGTCCAACAAGTTATGACAAAACATACTTAGCATAACAGGTAAGGACCTCCACAGAAAACATGAGTAGTTTTAGATACAAGTCAGAAGCATACATTCTTGAAGAGTCTCATAGCTTGAGAACTATGAACAATGACATTGAATTATGCTTCCATCATAAACTATGCACGTGAACAGCTGTGGCCAGAAGCCAAGGTACATTCATTCAGTGCAAATACACTCAAAGAAAATTCTTATTACTAATGCTTTATATTATGGCTATGATTAGAAGTCTTTTTTCTCATGTTAAGGTTACAACTAAATTGCGGGGAAAATGATCATGATCAATGATTAAAAGATTCTTTAGGAAAAGTATTTTCATTTGAGAAGTTAACACCTTACTGGCATGCATTTATTGTATTCCCTAGAACATCATGCATATCAAAAACCTTCAGTGCATTACAAAAATAACTAAGCTCTAGCTTCAGGTAAATTACTACTGCCTACCTCAAGAAAACATGGAAATGCTACAAGAAGGAAGGTACTCAAATTTAGCATCTATCTCAGAATTAGTATAATCTTCCTGTCTTCTACTTTAAAACCTATTCATACATGTTTTCTATTCTAAGGAAAATCTCATGTAAGAAGTTTTAATTTCCTGTATATGAAATCAGACTCAAAGAAATTTGTAGGAAGCTTAAAGAATTCATGGCAATACAGATGTTAATTACTTATCTCACTAAAGTTTAATTTCATGTGAGACCACAGTGCTTAGAGTAGGCTATGTCAGACTAAGTGTTATTAAGAGCTGCCTCAGTATTTTAAAGGAACTGTAGTAATAGACTTAAAAATGCTATTAACATGGTACTATTCAAGTCGGACAATCATTCTTGCTTTCATTTTTGCCTGTATTCATTTGTCTTTTCACTGCTTGGTGCATTTGGTAGAGTGAACTTACTGAGCAGGTGTTGCCATCATCTTCTTCCTTCTCCTCATAATAGAAATAGACAAAGGGAATCCACAGAAAGACACAGAACAGTATGATGGAGTACAAAGCTAGGAGAAAGAATTTAATTAAGTGATGAGACAAAGTTACATTGGCACTTAATTTACTGCATAGTAATTCAAAGGAAAGAATCAAATCTTAGTTTCCTCTCATTACTAATTTCAAGCATTAAAAATTTAATAAAATTTACTAGCTAGTATATGAACTGTTACGATTTTGTAAACTCCAAGGGACTTACAGAATTAACTTCTTCAGACTAAGGATTTCAGATCCACCTTCAATTCAGCAATGATAAAAACACTAAAAGTAATCATCCGCATGCAGGTGATATACAGGACTAGCACACTGGGGAAGTGGTAGCATAAAGGATAGCGAATAAAAGCAAGCTATGCCACCTAATAACAGAAGTTTTTCATAGAAGACGTATATACAAAAATATAACAAATTCAAAGCTATTCTGATCACTGGACTCCATTTCAGGGGAAGTTCTACTATTAATGTAAATACCTTATAAATTGAAGGCATGGTTCTGTTATTGATGACCTCAATTCACGAAACAGAACAAGCTGTAGCAATATAGTATCACCGCTTAACATGCCTTTTTTAAAGGAGGACCTAATTGGAGATTGCAACAGACATTTATCTGAGTAGCCACTGAATTGAAACAGTCACACTGTCATATTACTTTGACGCACAGGTGATCTTAAGAGACTTTAAACCAGCTAGTTTAACATAAGTGAAGGGTTAAACTAACACAAAAATCTTCATAAATACTAACTAGCAAGCTTGAAGACATTAACAAAGCTAGTCAAAATCAATTGGATTGATTAACCAGTGATATGAAAGGAGGAGACCAACTTCAGATCAAGATTTTCAAGTTTAAATCTTCACCTCTCTGTATTATAAGAAGTTTCACACTTTTTAGGACATCATTATTCAGCAAAATCCTTCAATACTTCGTAACATCTTACATTATGAACAATTCAGAAGTCTACTAGGAAACTGAAAACTGTCAATCAGTATGTTACAGTATTTGCACCCCACAAGAAAGGTATCCTAGTATAGTTAACCAAGCCCTCAAAATGTTGTAAGGACCATACAACCAAGACTGCTTGTGCAAGCATAAAATCACCCCTTTGAGTGGGTAAGTAAAGATACTCAGGATCACAAATCCTGTGATCTTTAGCTATTTTTAATCTTTGCCTCATTTTCCATAGCTAATTAGTGCCTTCCCACTACTAACCAATATAATCATCCCTAACTTAAGTTTGTGGCCTCTTATCTTGGCTAGTGCACTCCTTACAGTATCCATGTGCTTCAAAGAAATCTACTTCAGCATTTTTACTGAAGCTGGTGTAGAAGCCAAATAAAGTATCAACATCTAGAACCTAACTATGAATGAGAAATTATTTCTAAACAGAAATCATTCTTTGGAAAAATATTTCAAGGTGTTAGAGGTACCTACTGGTTAGAGTACTGAGTTAGTATGGCACTGTAACAACGGAACAAGTTCTTGGTTAGTTCATAAACTTTCTCACATTTGCCAAGCCATAAAATTCAGGGCTCTAAGACACCTTAAAACTTCAAACTCTGAAATGTAGCATTCTTATACCTTCTAGAGCAGTACTCAAACTGCTTCAACATTGTGAATGCTCTCAGAAATCAAGCCTCTCTAATCTAAAAATCTGTTTTTAGACTAGTCCTAAATCCACACTGCACTGTGCCAGTAAATTAGGCAAGTTACATGCATCATTAATCAAAGATCAGAATAATCAGCCCATAGAGGTCGCTGCAAGCACAGAAAACATCCTCGCTTCCAAGTCTTACTATGTTAACTTCAGCATACCTTACTCATATGAGGTACACCCATAGCTCATTAGAAAATGGGACTGATCCACGTTTTTTCCAAGGGGATAAAGGAAGAGATACTCAAATTCAAGAGAATATCTATGAACTGTGTGAAATAACACTACCATTTACCATCACACGAATCAAACATTGGTACTACCTAAATGCTGTTGCTTTTCAGTTTTAAGAGAACAGCACAGGCTTCTGACACTAAACTTAGTTTTTTGAATTTAAGCTGCTGGTGTTTACTTACTGAATACATAGATAATCTATATCTTGAATTTGTTTTACATCTTATGTTTTATTGTCATATTATAAAACTATAAATCCTTCCCTTTCTGAAAAAAAGGGTCTGTTTCCTGACACTTTCCTGTAATTCTTCATAGTAATGTCTTTTTTAAGTTTTTCTGATCTGCAACAATATATTAGCAGAGGACTACTCTCAGTGGCTACTCACAACCAGCTACACTTATCAACTGAACTTTTGGTTGATTTGTCTTATTTAATTGGATTGAGGCTGTTGAATTGACATATAGTTTGTCAAGCCTTCACAAGGTTTGAAAAAGCCATTCATAGCACAAGCATCTGAACAGTATACAGTAAGTCAAGCAAGCAAAGTTGTCAACTCTGTTCAAGAAACACTACCAAAAATATTATTTACACATACTGCTATTAACATCACTGTATTCAGCTTTTAAAGGACTGTCACAAGTGTTTGGCAATTGACTGGTCAAAAAGTTTGGGAAATATATCTTATTATCTTTAAGTCATCTATTCCAGGCTAAGTGGTGCCTCTCAACTCAAATGGTGAATTAGCAAGTTTAAACCATTACAGTAAAGCTTAAGTCAGAGGCAAGTCTATAAAACAAAACCTGTTACAGTTCAATAGCATGACCGTGTGAATACCTACTGTGCCAAACAAGTGCTGAATTTAAGTGTTTTTACATATCAGATCTGACTTCCACAATAAAGGCAGTCAGAAAAATGACTATACTAGTCCCCCAAACCCACCATTTCAGTAATACATTGCAATATGCAAAGAGTTCATGTAAAACCAGATCAAAGACATCAAAACAGGGTATTTTCATTCAGTAAGAATTAACTTCTATTGAACTAGGCATTTTTACCAACAGTTCTATCTCTATTTTTTCAAACTCATTTCCTTTTCCACATCCAATGGCTCGCAGAATAACAATGTTTAGGATATTGTTTGCATTCTGGAGTATTTAAATAAAGTTTAGATGCAAGCCTAACCAGCTCTAAATAGAATATTGCATAGAGCTCTTGACATCCTCCCTAAGTTTCATACTTTTGAAGTTAACATCCATAAGCTTCTCTTCATTGTCAGTGTAAACAAAGCAAATTACTATCCAGATTAGCCTTACCAAAAAGCTAATTGTACTTTCTGTGAAGTCATAGTTAACTCAATCCAATCCCCAAGTTCTTGCCAGTGTTCTCCAATCCCCAAGTTCTTGCCAGGAATTATCAAATTAAGAAAAAACCCATACTGGTTTAACAGTATGGCATGTCAGAAAAGGAAGAGCTTAGCCCATATTTTTTGCAACCTGATGTAGTAGAGTGTTGAATCCTCTAGAAAATGGAGTAAAGCAGGGCATGATGAAGGATCAAACTTTTAAACATCCCATTAAGCCCTCTTACGTCAAGCCAACTCCTTAGTAATTTGAAGCTAAATATTACCCACTTCCTTTTGTACACTCTTCCCTTAACTATCAAACGAAAATGCTTCAACTCACTGAAAGCTCACTTGGTAGCAATTGAGCTATTTTTTAGAAATTACCCGAGTAGCCAAAATCAACTCGGAAGAAAAGTAAAGTCATTCAAGTATTAGAAAGTGCCACTCAACTTTCTGAAGAGAGCAAGACGTAGCTTCTGGTCTTTATTTCGAAAAGCCAAGCCACATCTGACCAAAGATACATTTATTTTCAAACTAGCAAGATAAGGTAAAAGATTCAGATAAGACTGAAATATTCAGATAATACAAGAAATACCTACCTAGCCAGTCCCACACTATCTATAGAAGCATGGTAAAACGATTGATTCATTCCAGATCATACCAAATTAATGCCTTTCATAGAACTCAATCAGCTCAAGCCCTACTCCTTCTTCAAAAAAAAAAAAAAAAAAAAAGACTGTACTGGCTATTAAACTAGTGGAAGAATCTAATAAGGTATATTTCTGCAAGCCTTTGCTAATAAAAAATTCCATTTCTGCAATTCTCAATACAAATTTAGAAAAAACATAACAACCCTGTAGAAATCAGTGCAGAATGCAAAAGTGGAGTCAGACCAATGGTTCATCAAGCCCAGTACTGTCCTCTCAGTGGTAGCAAGAGGAGGTGGTATTTAGAGAAAGCGTGCGAGCCTGGTCACTTCCTGCAGTTTCAGCCTTTAGGATAAAAGTTTCAGCTTCATCACTGGATTATCCTGGCCTATTCCCTTTTCCTACTCAAAATGAGACCATTTCAAGCAGGCAAATGACAAAAAAAGCTAACAGCAAGGCTGATGCTGTTGTGGTACTGATAAACAACTACAGTATACTTAGAGCAGTAGTAAGTGTAACTGGATATTGAAGACTCATCTGATCTTGGTCAGTTATTTCTGTGGAAAAGCTTTCAATTTTCACCCTCATTTAAGAAATATGATTAGGTCAGATTTTTCTTCACCACATTTGGCCTGGTCTTTAGCTAAACTAAACCCCTCAAGCTAAAACTCAGCATGTGAAGTATACCACAGGACTTGCCTCTAGATTCAAGTCTCCTCTACACCACAATCCATTCTTGACTCTTAAAGCCTGGACAAGAGTCACACTACAGAGCTAGATCATGTTTCCAAGGTAAAGATTAAATATGTGGTTTTCACTTGTGAGTTCAAGACCACGTAAGTATAGCTAAAATACTCAGACATAGCTACTTACTTCTAACCATAAGCACCTGAGAAGCAGACCATAAAGCACATCAGCATTCCGCACCAATAACAAATGAAAAAACAGAATCTTATTTACCTGACCGCTGCAGTCAGATGCTGAAATGCCTTCCTCAGTGAGCATTAAGAGGCAAGTCATATCTGATTCACTTCCCCCTCTCCACCATCCACCTGTCATATTAAAACTCTTCTTTGCACCAGCTCCAGTGTTTGCTAGACCTTGTGCTGGGTCACCTTAACTCGCCACACTGGTGGAAGAG